CGCGAAACACGCGGCGACGACAACGGTGACAGCGACGACGGCGGCAGCGGTGGCTGGAGAGCGTCTTCTACCCCATCGCTTCTCTCCCCCTTCCCGGATGATGATCTCCTTGTCGGGGGGAGAGAGACGATCGCCGTGAATCAGTCGTCGTCATCGTTGCCGTCGTCAGGTGTTATACAGTGCATATCGATCTGAAAGCTGTCATTGGGACACGCTGGAGCAGCGACGAGAGAACGTCGCGTCGTTGATCTCGCGCGACCAGTGAGTGCTTCGCTCGTTTTCACTCGCACCCTCCTACACGCACTCGTCTGCCCTTATAGCTAGCCCCCGGGATACATGGATGTCCAGTGCGTGGAGATGCGCGAACGAGGACCCAACCGACGTGTGTGCTTTTTTTTTTTGCCGCATCTCCCATACGTACACTTGTACTCCTTCTTCCTCTCCCTTTCTCCCTCCCTTCCTTCCCGACGCCGGGATCGCGCGTCCGCTTCACGTGGGGCACAGAAAAAGCGGTGTAACGCGATTAAAGGGAAAGGAAACTTGCGAGAATGCGGCACGGGACTCCGGCCGCATCGTCGACTTTCGCGTGCTTTCATCCAGGAACATTTCTCTCTCTTCCAATTAGTTGCGCTTTCCATCAGTTTTTGCTCTCTCCCCCCCCCCCTCCCCTGCCCACCTCCCCTCTCTCTCTGTCACCCTTCCCCTTTTCCAACGGAGGGACGAGTGCGAAGGGTAAGGGTATACTTATATTACTTATCCCATTTGCAGAATGCGAAAAGTGTAACGCAGAGTACAGCTGAGAGACGAGCAAATCCTGTTAAATCTCTTCGCCCCTGATTGCACTCTCTGCACTCCGCACCGGTTTTCCCTCTCGCTCCCGCCAGACGTCGACGTGTACGTCGCCGCTCCGTTCTCCAAATCCGCGAGAAGTGTGGGAAAGTACAGGTAGGACCGGAGGAGAGCCGGCTAAACGCACGCGAACGTGTTCCGCAACTGTGGAGGAGCGGAGTGTCCTTCCACGAGTCCGAGAGCGGTACGGTGGATAAAATTTGGTGGTCAATCTCCGTTGTAGTCCAAAAGGGAGCACGCCATCGGGGATATATTTCGCGTGTCGTGCTCGACTCCTCAAAAGTGAAAATCGCAGAGAGTTCCTCGGATCGCGGCTTACTTATTTTGTTATACTATCGATTTGGGAGAGACGTGACTCGTGGACACATCTGGCTTTCTCACAATTGTGCGCCCATTGTCAGTGCTTATTGATGCAATTAGCATGGAGCGGAGCTATTGTGAATAGCTCTTTCAGCGTAACGTGTGATTCATAGATGTATTTTAAGAGAGAGAAAGATACACGCGGCGCAGCACAAATCGTGAGACGGTACATTATTTAAAGTAGTTGTTACAGATTATGAAAGATAATTGTATGCGTGACAGGAGAGTTCTTTAAACTTGTGTGCGTGAATATCTGATATTAAAGTAGCTGTTATACGAATCGCAAAGGACGATTGACAAGGAACTCCAAATTTGTATGTAAATCTGGAGTTCCTGGAGGGGGAGATCTTTATACAAGTAGCTGTGCATGTTACGTGAAAGACAGGGGAACTCTCTAAATTTGTACGTAAATCTGATATTTTATACTAAAGCTTGTCACCGCATATCGTAGAGGATTTTTGACGGGAGAACTCTCTAAATTTGTGACAGGAGAACTTTCTAAATTTGCGACTCTAAATTTGTAAATCTCCGACGGTGTGTACTAAAGTACATCGCTGCGAATTATGTAAGACGATTAACGAGAGAACTCCCTAAATTTATGCGTAGGTCTGAGACACGGTGTACTAAAGTAGTTGTTGCAGATTATGAAAGATAATTGATAAGGGAACTTTCTAAATTTGTGCGTAAATCTGAGACGGTGCACTAAAGTAGTTACGGATTATGAAAGATGAATTGACGAGGGGGCTCTCTAAATTTTATTTTATATTAAATCCTAAAGTCTTGTGTTTACAATCCTTAGAAATCGGACTGAAATCTCGAACGGAAAAAAATTTAACAAATCGTGTTTGAACAATTCAGCCAATTGACCAATTACGACCGTTCAATTCTTTCTCCGATTTCTAACATCGTATACACGAGGCTTAAGACCGATACTAAAACGATAACTAAAGTAATTAGTAACAGATAGTGAAAGACAATTGATATGTGAGAATTTTCTAAATGTGTGCGTTCTCTTTGATTTTCTTTTTCAGATACACAGTGCCATTCCAAAGAACCATTGCTCACAGCTGTGCTAAACTATAAACGCTATGCTTAACGATAGATAGTGTTTAAGGGTTTTTTCAAGCTCGGTGTTATTTATATATTTAAACGACGTAATACTATTAATCGCATTTCTCTACCGTAAGAGCTTCACGATAGAGATAATCGTACGGATGAGAAATCCGGGGAGAATCCAGTATCGCGTGTAAATACATAGAGCCCAAGATTTTGCATCAACGCGAGCAAGCGAATTGTGATTCAAATCAATTTAGAGATGCTACCAAAGGGAGATTGAACCAATTTTCTACGCAGAAGCTCTAGATTCGAAGGGTAGTAATATGACCAAAGGTGTAGAGGCAAATCTGTGCTGGTAGCCAACCTTTTTTCGGTGGTATTTCGCTATGTCTTGAGGTAAACGCCGTTTAAAAGGAGGAGAAAAAACAAAGTTTATTTTGACATTTGCTACGAGAGCGATATTCATCGCGTGCTAAACATGGCGAGAAAAAGTGACAATGCCAAGAGCATCAACATCGCGGTGGTCGGGCTCTCCGGCACGGAGAAGGATAAGGGCCAGGTCGGCGTCGGCAAGTCGTGTCTGTGCAATCGCTTCATGCGTTCCATGAGCGACGACTACAACGTCGAGCATATTTCGGTGTTGTCGCAGGTACTTGCATCTTCTAAATATCTTATTTTGTCGTCGATTGACCGTACATTTTGATAATCATCGAAAATCGGCTTTGTTGCAGTCTGACTTCAGCGGACGTGTGGTGAACAATGATCACTTCCTGTACTGGGGCGAGGTGATGAAAACGACGGAGGACGGGACGGAGTTTCAGTTTCAAGTCATAGAGCACACGGAGTTTATAGACGACGCGTCGTTTCAGCCGTTCAAGGGCGGCAAGATGGAACCGTACGCGAAGAGATGCGCCGCCACGAAGATCACGAGCGCGGAGAAGCTCATGTACATCTGTAAAAATCAGCTGGGCATCGAGAAGGAGTACGAGCAGAAGGTTCTGCCCGACGGTAAATTGAACATCGACGGATTTCTGTGCGTGTTCGACGTGAGCCTCGTGCCGAACAGGGCGATTGAGAAGCAAGTCGAGATCGTGGCGAATATCCTGAACAATTTGATGAAGACGAAGAAGTCGATAGTGCTGGTGACGACCAAGAACGACGACGCGAACGAGCAGTTCGTCAAGGAGGCCGAGAAATTGATAATGCGCAAGGAGTACAAGGGATCGATTCTGATCATCGAGACCTCG